GGCCGCTGGGTTCTCAGGCCAGTCGCAAGACGCCGCTCTCCCTGCATATGCAGCAGCTAACCACTACATGTGTATGCAGCGAGCGAAGATGTGCTGTGTGCAGGCAGTACATGGCGCCCGTACATGGCCGGTACACGCTATTATTAATAAACACCCGCTCCCGATCTGCCTGCTGTCTTGCTGTACTGTGCCCGCCCTTTGTGTGCTCAACTAATATTCCTTGTCCGCAAGCCTCGAATGGCTTTTTATCTTAAACTCTTTTACTGTGCTGCTAATTTTCCTTGGAGTAGTAGTGGGAATAAAATGTTTCTTTTGGTAAGCAATGGCCAAGCAAGCACTGTTTGCGAATAGCTATGCGGTTACATAGGTGTATAGCACTTGCATGCACTTTACTAGTTGCTAATAAGTGTGCATTGGGCTGAGAAGAATTCTAGTAGTTGGATTAAAATAACTATAGGACAAAGAAATAATGGTTTAAGCAGAGACTTTTATTTACGAATAGAATATACAACAAAAAACATTTCGAATATTCTAGCATTCATCTTATACCTACCCATTATAAGACAATACCATACATACTCTTAGTGCTGAGATGTTTTCTACTGCATAACAAACATTAACAATTGAAACTGCCTCTTCACATAATATATTTATGTAGTAAATTGCGATTTCTCCAGAACTTTCTTACCATTGCAAGAGGCTCCACAGTAAAAGTATTTTGCGAGAGAGATTATCTCAGCCTTATGAAAGGACTCAAGAATAAACACAGATTCTCTTTTACAGAAGAAGAACAATAAGACTGAACAAAGAAATACGCCGAGCCACAGCCAGAACTTTAAGACTGCCTCAGAGCTTAATTTTGGTGCCAGGAAATTTATTCATGCGCATTCTAAATATTCTTCATGTCTTAGTCAGGTGCAGCCAGAATTTAGTAAAAAATATTTTATCCCTAACCAATTTATTTCAGAATAAAATGATCAAAGGAAGTCATAGCACATATACAGTTGAGAATAATAAAATATTGCATGAAGAGAGCAAAAATACTCCAGTCCAGGAGAAAAATACATCTAAGGCTATTCTTCACAGTAGCAGGGATATTGTTCATCTTAAGTTTAATAAAGAGGGCATGCAGAGTGACATAAAAGAAATTGAAGAATGCATAAAAAACTCTTCTGATTTTGAGATACACACGGGAATGAATATACTACAGGGCTTAGTATCCCAAAACACTGAGATAACAGTAAGTAAAAAACTACAGCCAAAGACTGCAGAGTTGCTATCAAAAATATCCAGGCTTGTATTGGAGGAAACCATTATAAGTGAGTGGCTTGGTGAAGACAGACTGTTATATAACACTGCTTCCATATATAGACTGGAAGAAGATAATCTTAATGAGCTATTGATTACAGACTTGACTAGCATGATCAAGGCAATAGAGGATATTAAGCTGATGAAAGTCGTTGAGAACAGGATTGAAAAATGGTATAAGTCACTAAAGGAAATAAGTGAGCTTGATATGCAGAGATATCTTGAGCACATATCCAAAATAATGAATGAAAGGTCGTGCTTGAATCTCATATTAAACATAGCACTAAGAAGAAACTTAAAAGCCTTTTTAAGCAAGGTGCAAGCAGAGGGTATTGAGTACACTGGGATTGACTTGTTTAAAAAAAGAGAGGATGGAGTGTACACTCTGGATTACGGAATGGATTTAATTCTAAGAAACAAGCAGGTGCATCCATTTTATGCTGACGGCAAAGCTGCTGATAGAGTGGCTGACCTAACAGATGAAGACAAGGCTATTATATGCCAAGTATACGTTAATATGCCTAAAATAGTTGAGATTAATGAAACAATACGCAAAATAACTGAAGAAGATGACGATGAGTACTTTGATCGTTCATACCTGGCAGGAGAAATTGAAGAAAAAGAGAAAAACAGACCAATTACGCACCTATCAAAGATAGAGTACAATGAAAGCAAGATTGACTATTATCAAAAGGTCTTCCTAGCCCAGCCAAATACTTCTGAATCACAGAAAGCATATATTACAGAGAGAGTAAGTGAGTTTAAGAGAATAGCAAAAGTATTTGCATTCCCTTCAGTTAAAAACACAATTAAGAACACCTTTTTAAAAGCATTTGGGATATTAGGACTAGGCACACTCGCTGCCACAACAGTATATCTAACCACCCCGGATATGGGCCCTTCCTACAACTAATGAAATAAATCAAGCACTGGGATATTCATCTTATAGATGCCATGCAGATGTGCACTTTGCATCTAATTTATAGAAATCTTCTATTTTTCGCATATTTCTCTATTTCTGTTTGTATCAAGAAAAGTCTATGAATTAAGTGGCTGTAAGAGACAGCAGCTCAAAAGGTCAGAAACCATTTAAACCCGATATAACCAGAGTATATCAATACTATACGAAGGTAACTGCTATTTATCCGGTATGTTTAAGAGAGATGCCATAATTTGCATAGTTTTATAGATTTTATGCGATTTTTATGCTTTAGTGTTCATGAAGATTTAGTCTTTGTAGTCTAAGCCCATAATATTTACTGATTCTTATACACACAAGCATTTGGAAGTTATAAATTGTTGTCGACAAGAAATTTAAAAATGAAATTTATTTAAAATTACTAGTAGTAGTAGAGAGATTGACAACAAAATCAAAAAGATAGCACTTTTTATTATATTCTTCATAATAGTAGATAAATGAATATCTTCTGGCCTGAAGATATAACCACAAATATATTATAGCAGTAATATTCTATAGCAATTTGCAATAGAAGGCACACTGTAAATTACCTAGTACTAAGTGGGTAAATATATATTTATTTCTGCCTGGTATTTTAACTTCTTGGATTCTTCTGGGGAAAAAGGCCAACAAATAGCACTGATTCTAGCCTAGCAGATCCAATCTCTTCATTAAATATCTGTTCTGCTCCTTAAGTAAGTAGTACTCTCCCTTTAGCTTTGTAAAGTCTCTGGTTGTCTTTGGCTCCTGCACTTTCTTCTTTAGCTCTTGTATTTGACTCTTCAGTGCTTGTATGTGCTCAGATGGCTCTTCTTTCTTCTGTAAGTCTCTCTCGTATATGTGCTTGATTTCATCTATAATCTGCCCCATCCGGCTGATTATCTTCTCGTTTTTTGCTGTAACCTCTTTGATTTTCTCTTTCGTTGTTTTTTCAATTATTTTTATCTTATTGCTCACATCTTTGACATAACGTATTCTGTTCTCTAGCATGATTCCCAAGGACATCACACGCATAGTCACATCTTCCTTGAATGAGTTTAGTATTTTCTTAATGTACAGCGCATTCTCCTCTTCTGTAGCACCCTCCAGAACGTACTTGATGCTCTTGTATTTTCTAAGGTACTCAATGCTTGTTTCAATTAAATTGTTTTCCTTTTTCTGGATATCCCTCTCCTTGCTCAGCTCTATTGGGGCTGCCTGGTATGCATTCTGCTCTGTTCTATATCTCACAATTCTATCTGTCTCTCCTTCAACTAAAAAAGTTGTGTCATTTATAACGTATATTTTCTCTGTTTTTTTTATGCTAAATATTTGAATTGGGCCTGTCTTCCCAATCTCCAGTATTCCGCACTCCAGGCCATTTTCTGTCTGTTTTTCTTTTTCCCTGACAAATACTCTTCTTTGCACTTCCATTTGTTCCTTTCCATTTATGAATGTGCCTTCTGTCTTGTAGATGTATGCTAGACTATAATTCTCTCCATTCATGCTGTACACTTCCATGCCTGTCGTGTACTTAAGAATGCCTCCCCAGGTTGTGCATACAATCTCGCTGATTGGCTCAGCACAAAACACCACAGGCTCTGGCTCAATAATCACAGGCTTCCTGATCATAACTGTTTTTTTGTCATCTGCTGACAGTGTGCCTAGTCCCTGATATTGCCTATCCTTTATTTTCAGGTTAATTTCAAGTATTTTCTCCTCCGTCAAAAGAACTCGATCCTCCTGTCTGTACAGCTTTCTTATTCTATACTTACTAATTAGCTTGTTCTGCTCAATCATATATCTTCGGATCTGCATATCTTTTATGCAGTAGATGTATATTTCATTATAAAATAGATTCACAATGCTGTAATTATCTACCAAAATAGTTCCTGGTGCATTAGGCAGAGTGACTGTGCTTTTGTAGTTCATCAGTGGGTTATATATGGTTTGAGTATTTTTCTCCGTAAATATCAGATACTCCCCATGCGCTGTCGCTACTACGCTGCTGAAGGATAGAGGCATCTCTGAAAATGGGTAGGTTTCTATACTTCTTGTTGTATTATACTTATAGACACTATTATATGTTATAAAGTACACTCCTGTAGAGAATGTTGCACTTGCCAAATAATCCTTTGGAATTCCTGTGGGCAAAACCTCTTCAAATATCTTCATACAAAGAAAATAAATTTGCACGAAATACTTCAGTAGAATGCAAGAAGAAATAGTTTGCTGAGAATAGAAAATTAATGGAAATCAATAGAAAACAAGGAAAGTATACACTAGAATCAATAAATAAATGACTTTATTTAAAGGTGATTTATGAAATTTAAAGCATGCGACTTAAGTATTAAGCATGAAAATCTGCTGCACACTTCTATTCTTACAACTGAAATAAATTACTGAAGATGTTGCAGACGTCAAAACACTCACAATACCCAATTATATACGAGTTTCACAGCTGGCACTTAGAACACTGCCTATATAATGTACAATATACATTCAACCACATAGAAATAGTATATCCGCAGTAAGCCCAGTGTAGGCATTCTTATAGAAGTTCTTGGGTAGAAGGCAATAGAGAAAGAGCAGACTATAAAGTCAAATATAAATAGTGAAGTGTATTATCTTGTGCACAGTATTATGAAGGAAGGACCTGTTGAATATGTTTGCATACCATTGTATATTCTGGTTATTCAAATATCTTTGTCTTCAAGCGTGCTCATAAAGGCTGCATCAAGTACAACCTCTTTTGTCACCTTTTTCCAGGTGCAATAGTCAAAATACAGAATAAGACCGGTCTCTCCACTTCTTTTAATGATCTGCAAGAATGTCTTCATCTCTTTACTGTACAACCAGCCTAGTTTAATTAACCTAGTATACGCATCTTTTTGGACTCTTTTCCCGCAGTGGTTGAAGAATACATAGAATAGAGTGCCTTCTGAAAACTTGTCAATTTTCTCTTCTTTTGTGCCTCGAATTGCAGTTTTGTACGATTCTGGGAGAATTCTGTCTACATCTATGTCGTATGGGAAGACTCTGCTGTTTCTATCGCTGCTCAAGTGAACATCCTGTGCATCTATCTTGAGTGAGTTTCTGTAAATATCTCGAAACATAAAATTAAAATTACGCGAATTTATTACTAAATGCTTGGTCTCCCGTGTATGCCTGCAAATAGGCATGCATCCAAGATATTTCTGCGAGTGCCCACTGCGCTTAAATTGCACCTAGCAATAGCTGCATTTTAAATGGCATTTTGTCAATACCAGAACAGACCAGTCAGATGGATATCGATCAAAAAAGAAAATAACAGGTGCAGTAATAGTAGCATAATACCGTAAGATACACTTTCACTTCGGGTTATATCTACTGAAAATATCAAAACTAACTTCATAAATTCCCTATAACTAACTATTTAAGCATTGCATGAAATGAAAATAATCTGTAGACTTCAGAAGGAACATAAGTGCCTTCCTATCTGTTTAACTGCAGCCTGATATTCTCATAAATATTGCAGGTTATTTACTCTCTCACATTAATCTGTTTCTGCCATAATTTAAAAAGGAAGCTTTCGCTTCATATTTATTCACTTTAGTATAAGCAGGCTGGATTTAAATATTTCTTTATGAGAGATTTTATTTTCTCTTTCTGGAATATGGGTTTCTTCTGAAATTCCTGCGGGTATTCGGGTTATACCTAGGACTAACTTCATCTGGCGGATCCTCAGAGTTATTCGGTGTATGGCACTCTCTTTCACGGTGGCCTAATCTTTTGCATTTCTTGCAAAATAGACACGTGTAATTTCTTCTTTCTTTGCGAAGTCTAGGAAATAATATGCCTATTCTGTCAAGCTCTATGCACTCAGGGTTTAAACTAGTGAGGGTTGTATTTAAATCTTGATAGGCACTTAGGACAAGGGATAAAAATGTAGGACTGAAAGAACACGCCTGGTCTCTAACATGTGAATCTATTTCTGCATATGCTGAGACCATGTTATTTGAATTTCTCTCAAAACTAATATATTCTGAAGTGTATGAAGCACTTCTGAGATCACTCAAAGGGGCACTAACAGCAGGGGGTCTCTTCATTCTATGTGTGTGCTTCTTGTTTACATTATGCAGCATTTTCCCCATGCTTTTATCAAGGTTCTTTTGAGGTTTTGCCTTTAAGCACATATTTTTCCCAGTTGCATCTCCTTTAAGATCCTGAAAATTCTGTCTTGCCTGAAGGTCCTCATGGATGGCTAGCTGGGAAAGTAGTATTTGCAGCTTTATATTTACTGATATCAGAGACCAGTCATTTACGCAAACTGAAAGGCTTTCTGGCTCTCTCTGGACTAATCCCTGCTCTCTTTCTAAAGACAGACAGCTCATGCATGTAATAGCCATATGGATTGCTGCAATTTCACAGTCTGTGAATGTATTGTATATATGAGGAAAGGGATTATTCTTGTCAAAGTCTGTTTTTTTCTGTGAATCTCTTTCAGCCATAGAAAATTCGATGCTGATTAAAGTTTTTTGTGTATTATAGATAATAATGCAACCTAACAATCAATTGATCGAATCCTCATATATTAGACAGTTCCATGGGATTTCTGCAAAATACAGTGCACTCCACAGATGTTTCATAAATTCCCTAGAATATGCTAGAATTGTCTTAACTAGTACTCTCTCAGGCACTAATAGAAATATTTTTAGTCTTCTATATAAATAATCCGAATTACTGCTACAATTGCCCAGCTGAACACATAAATCTTCAATAGTACTACTAGACTACTTATAAGGGTTTACCTGTAATTTCATAAATCATCAACACTGTGCAAATAGAAAGCATGAAATCCAAAAATAGAACTCCAATAGAAATGCAATAGAGATGCAATATTTTTATGTCTCACATGGTCTTTTTAGCTGCAGTCCTTCTTGCTTTCCTTTTTCTTTTTGTAAACTACGTTTTGTTATAGATATTTAGTGCCTTCTTAATTAAGCCCATTAAGCCTATTAAGCCCATTCTACTATAATATTTTACTTTAGAAGCCTCTTCTGTGCAAAACTCTTTCAAGAAGCTGCAATCTGCTGCCTCTGGAAAATGCAAGAGAATCTGTCTGAATACATAAGCACTGCAATTTCACAGTTTATACATACTCTAAATAAAATGTACTGCAAATTCCATCTAAAACATGCAGTATTATAGAGTACATTATAGCAGTATTCCTGCTATTAAGGTGGTTGTTAATTGAAAGAAACAAAAAACCTTGGAGTATGATTTTTATTAAGCCAAGAAGTTATTATTATAGTATGCTGCTAGCCCTGATGTATACCACAGGCTTTGCTTTCTTTGGTATTGGTGCTGGGTCATGGAATATATAATGTTTTCTTTCTATATAATTCATTGGCTCTGGTGCATTACTGTATACTATTCTGGGATCTGGTCCTATATCCGGGTCTTCTTCAATATAACTGGGGCTTATCTGTGGTGGTGCTGTCTTCCTTTCCAGATCACGCAAGGCTCTTTCTATTCGAGCAAGAGTTTCTTTGTTATTTGTGCTATTGTGGTTTACAGGCATATCGTATTCACTCAAATACCTTTTTGGTGTATTATCACCGCCACACTTATTTTTCCCACATGGAGTATCTTCGTTCCAACTACTGTCATCTGAAGATTTTGGATATTTTGACTTTTCACTATTTTTTAGCTTCTTCAACAGTTTTTCGTCTTCTTTTTTCTGACTCTTCAACTTTTTTAGCTCTTTTTCAATCTTTTTTTGTTTTTCCTTGTACTGCTCTTCAATTTCTTTTCTTATTATTTTCTTTTGTAATTTTAGTTCCCTTTTAAAACTCTTTTTCTCTTTGCTGGTTACACTCCAGTCCTGGTAGTCATCACCATCTGGGTTGTAGTCCTTGGTAGGCTTGTCTTTGTACTTCTTCATATGCGAGTCATTTTGATCATCATCTCTTAAGTCACGGTCCCAAGAAGATGAATTCTTGTATTTTTGTGAGTCATTTTGGTAGTCTGATTGATCATCACGTCTTTTATCACGAGAGTAATTTGACTCTGAAGTTCTTTTCACATCTTCCCGAATCTTCTCCCGAGTTTCTTTTGAGCTTTTTATGCGGTCTTCTGTTTTATACTTGGAATATTCACTTGGTTCTGATGAATCCTTTTGAGTATAAGTGCCTTTAGTGGTGCTCTTTATACTGCTCTTATGTGAATATTTCTCCGTCTGAACTCGCTCCAAGTCATTTGGATATTCTCTGTCTCTAGGGTAGTCATTGTTTCTAGGATAGTCATTTGGATAATTTCTGTCTTTATCTTTGGGATAATCTCTTGGATAATCTCTTGAGTTGTCCTTTAGATTAGAGTCAGATGCGGTGGGTGCATTAATGAGTGGAACACTGGGCACATAAGAAGGAGAGAATGGACTGTTTTGGTTGTCTTTTGGTCCTGCATTTTCCATATTTTTGCTATTCTTTGGGTCTAATGTGGCTTCTGCTCCATTCCCTGTGTTTCTTATTACTATCCTGGATATAACATCATTAGCTGAGTTTCCATTCTTGTCAGTGCTTCCTATTGTAATTACTAAATTTGACCTGTCCTGATGTCCTTCATCTTTTGCTTTTGGTATATCATTAGTGGCAGGTGCAATCCCATGCACTTCATGCACCTCTGCAGGGCCAGTTTGGCTGGTGATATCATGGTGATTGTCTTCATGCTGACTGGGTATGCACAGAAGTAGGGTTTTATCTCCACATAAACTCCCACTTATCATTGCATTTGGAGTATATCCACTAAGCTTAATTCCTGCTTTTAGTCCTATTCCAGTCCGCATTGGGTATGTGTATGCTTGTCTTAGCACATTCTGCTGGAGACTTTGGAGAGGAGGTATATTCTTCCCCATGAGCCATGGCTGTCTGGCTATCATTTGATTCCTGTATACTCTGCATAATGTATTCTGCAGGGCATTCACTTCCGATAATAATCCACAAAATTGCATCTCACCCATACAAATAACACTTGTTGCTGCTATACCTACGAGTACAATACACTGAACTTTCATGTTCTTTTATCGATTTTCTAGTTAAATTATCATTGTAAAACACTCTATGGCTTGGTTTTGAATTCGTCCAATTAGAAGTTTATTTATTCTGTATTTATTTATTTCCCAGAAAGAGGAAATTACAATTATTTAATAATTTATTTTTTGTTATTCTTAAATGGGCAGCGTGGTAAGTAATTTTCTCAGTGCCTTTGTGAAGAAGAGCCCGAAAAAAGTTCTTATGCTAGGATTGGATAATGCAGGAAAAACAACCATTCTGTATTTATTGCATTTAAAAATGGTTGAAGGATCTGATCCAACCACTGTCCCAACAGTCGGATTTAATGTTGAGACAATTAAAATAGGAAGTGTGAATATTACTGTCTGGGACATTGGGGGCCAGCATAAAATTAGATTACTTTGGGAGTTTTATACGGATGGTCTCTCAGGCATGGTGTATGTGATTGATATACAGGATTCTGCAAGATGGGACTCTGCTGTGTCTGAGCTGGAGAGGATGTTGTCTAATGGAGGGAAACCCAGCAAGTACCCAGTTCTAGTAATTGCAAATAAAATAGATAAGATACCAGAGTCTGAAATAGATGAAGTGAATAAGAATCTGTACGATAAACTGAATCCAAAAGTACTTTTTGCTGGAAGGCCATGGAGGATTGTCACGTGCTGTGCACAGATCACACACATAAACACAATTACTGAAGGATTTATGTGGCTAGCTGATAATTTATTAGAGGGTCAGGAAACAGGTAGTAAATAGAGACTGTAGCTGTGAAGAGAGAATGGCTGGTCGCTGGTATTTTGTTTTCTATCTGATATTCTAATAAAATATTTAAGAATTTTTGCTTTGTTTTTCATGGAAAGCATTGTCGCGTATATGAAAGGACAGATGGACCTTTTGGGTCTCATACGGGGGCATGCGGCTGACCAAGGCCCACAAAAGGTCTCTGCATATATTCTTTTTGAAAGTCTCAAAGAAGCAATTGACTTGAGTGCCTTGCATACGCACAGAGTTGCAGTTGAGAAATTCTTCCGGAAGGAGTACATACCCGGACTGTTCTCTGGGTATGTGAAGATTCTTATGAACCGAAAGATGAAAGAGATGCACGTGGAAGTCGTATGGCTAATGTGCTTCTCACTTGGTAGACTGCAGAAATTGGAGGAAGTGTCTGGATTGGAAGAGAGACTGACTATGTTCTTAAAGACAGTTAATCATAAAGATATCCCTTTGATTGATCTAGTGAAGGCATGTGCCTGTAAGGGAAGTTTTGTGGGTGCAGGGCACTTTGCAGAAATTGTGCTTGAAAATCGTTATCACTCGTTATACGCCATTCTAGACAGAAAGACCGTTATGCAGATTTTACTGAAAGAAGTTGAAACACGCGGTATTATAGAGACTATTCAGAAGAAGAGAGATCTACTCGATGGAATAGCTGAATATGATCCACTCTTGGTAGAGAATCTGGCAGGAATGTGTGTCTCTTACATCCTAAGCAAAGAGTCTAAGAATAGAAGAGATGCAGAAATAAACAGCAGCCAGAGACTGGAAGGACACACAAGGACTATTCAAAAGAAGATGGTTTCAGAAGTAGCAGAGTCAAGCGGTACTCCTGTATATGCAGAAAGTAAACAGATAAAGCTACTTGCAAGTGATGTAAATGGAAGAATTGTCATACCCCATTCTATGCCTGAAGACACTTTAAGAAGACACAAAGAAGTGGTAGTTGCATGGTTGAGAGAAATGCGCATTCTATTCATAGGAAGAACACCATCTGAGGCCACAGATAAATCAGCTGCAGTGTCTTCAATGGACGTAACAGATACGAACTTGCATAGAGCAGAAAAGCAGGCGCCAAAAATAATTCTGTATGACAGATCTGGGGATAAATTTGCAAGTTGCATTACTAGCATGGACAGCATAGAAGTGCTTCTTATGTGCGAAGTGTGTGCTGATGTAAAAGCTGCACCTGGCAGCACTTTCTCCAGAAATCTTCTGCTAAAGACTCTTGAAGTAACAGGCGACAGAGAATATATTAAATCACATGGTGTCAGCCAGATAATTAATATTGAAGAAGAATTGCAGGTAAGATACGACTACTATTTGAGCAAAATACTGCACAAGCAAACACCATTTACTCTCTCCTTGAATCTTATAAATCTGATAATAGAGTGCGGATATCACAGTAGAATTGTTGGTCTCACCATCAGACTGTCAGAGATCCTTAAAGAGATGGAGTACAAGAATAGAAATGGCTTTTTGTTGTGCAATAAAAATCAGCAGCGTGAGATAGCATTCATACCCCAGATACTAGCCAGAATCATTCGGTCAGTCTACATTAAGAAGAAGGACTTACAGAAGATAATGCAGTCTATTATGTATATTAGTACAACTGAAAATATTCAGTTAGTGAAAGGAATATATCTAGTTCTTGCAGAAATAATCTATGCCTATAATGGACTTGATGCAGGTGTCTCTGAGTGCATGTATGGGTTGAAGAAGTCTGCTGTCTCTTCCCATGATACATTATGTTTTGCCCAGTTGTCGGCACAGAAAGAACTAGAAAATCTTCCTATGAGAGAACTAAAATCTGCAACACCAGCTACTAGTGCAGATGACAACAAGAACAATAATACAATGACTGTATCTGCAGAGATATTTAATATTCTTGATGCAGATGGATTTTGCCATTTAGCCAGAATTGAGTTTATGAAACTTCTCACTGCCATGGTGAAAATAACAGATAATTTCCTGATAAAGAGATTGCAAAATAATCTTGTGCCAGAGATACTTCAGTACTACATCCGTAATAATATTCTTGTTAATTGCAGTGAAACAGAAGCCCTAGGAGTATTTTTGCTGCATATTTCTTCACACTCACTCACAGTGAAAAGTACTCTTGATTTAGTATTTCTTCTAATGATACTTCTGGAAAGAAATATTGATGCAAGCCAGAAAATAATCATAAGGCTGCACAAACAAAACAAATATGCACTTGCATCTGCTCTTAAGTATAATATAGATAGAGACAAGAGAGGACGTAATGGCCAAATAATATCAAAGCAAACCATAATTAAAATACAGAAAATATTTACTTCCTGCGTAAATGAGCAATGAGTACAGCAGCATATCCTGTATACATAATCGAAGGGATCTTATATATGGACTGTGGGATGGAAGTGTCAGAATAATTAGCAATGGCACTGCGAATTCCATTTCTCTTAAGTCCCCAGCCACTGCTATATTAGAAAATAGCTTAAACACGGCGTACATAGGAACAGTTAAAGGGGATATATGGGAAGTAAAAAATGAAAGAGTAGCGTGCATTATTAAAGCAAGCAAGAGCATAAAACACACAGATATTAACATGCAGGCTGTGATAGGCATACACATGCACTCTGAGGATATGATAATTGGTGTATATGTTCATGGTGAGATAGTGGTTTACAACACAAAAAATAACACTGTTATGAAAAAAGTCCAGATAGACGAGAAAATCACAAGCAGTTATGCGGAGAATGGTAAAATACTGTGTATTCTGGAAAGCAGCACCCTACTTATATATAATATTGACTCTGACTCTGGTTTTCCCATGAAATCCCTGCTTTCTGACACAGAAATTGACCATGCAATATTTCTGCCAAATACCAGACAGAATATCATTGCATATTCTACACCAATTGGGAAAGTCTGTGTGGATTATGCGAATAGACCAGGAACTGGATTTGTATTCAAAGCCCATAAGCAAGTGAAGGAGGCCAAAGAAATATACTATCCTGTTACTCTCTTGCAGCCTGCAAGTGCCACCCAAGTTATTACTGGAGGAGCAGATGGAGAAGTTCACTTGTGGGATGTAAAACATAAGACAAAAGTGCGCACAATACTCTCCACAAAGAAGTGCATTATCACAGGTGCCATGAAAAGAGATGAAAATAATACTCCACTTTCCTTGACTCTTGTCCTATCAGAAGGCCTTGACAGTCTCTGTGAAATAGAGGGAACCCATCACTTAGTGGAGGTTTCCTTGTCTGGCAGCCTGTAGATAAGTGAGTTTAATGGAAATTATAAATAATCTACATATGAACAGATGTAGAATACAGTAATTTACTGCATGAATTATACAATTTATACGTTTTCCTTGTCTGTTACTAATTTGACAAGATATTCCCTGTAATACAGTAGAAAATAAAGCATAAAATATTCTGTTTATATTCTTTGCAGTGAATGTATTAAAGGCTCTTTAAAAATAAATTATATGCTGCCATGCAATCGTATTTATATGTGAAATTTTAAATAATTTTCATTCTAGTTTATTCAACCATAAACTAACTTCGTATATTATCTAGTGTACGTTGTACTAAATAAGTATGGAATAACTGAATTATTTCCCATATATTCAAGAGTGCTCGATAGTTTGTGTATTGTCAAGCATGAAAATTGAAGTATATATTATTTTGTTAATAACTATTGCCATATTCATGTGCACCACACAGTTTAACAGTGATATGTATATGTATGTTCTTTTGTATTTTGATTTAATGCATAGCCACATGGTTAAAACCGTGCATATAGTAGAAATTATATAGAAGCCACCAAATTGTGGAATGTACATATTTAATAGAAGAGTTTGTCTTACTGTCAGGAAATATCTCACTATTAATGCAACAATGCATATTATAGCTGTAATTAATGTACTATTCTTCTCTATAAACATATCTTGGAAAGACCTAAACTGTCTCTTTTTAAAGAATAAAAGTACAAAAATCGTAATAATGTACGTAAGAGTTCTCATAATAGAAATGAATATGTGCATGGGAGCTGCGTCTTCTTTAATGGACATATGCTGTAATTTTACCAAGAATGTAATATTTACTATAAAAATACATAAAATACCAGATAGAATATATAGTACTGAGATTCCACCAACTGCTATTATGTAACTAATTATATCTAAAGAGCTTAGGCACTTTCTGTGTCTATATATGTTTCCATCTTGCAATGTTGTTTCACTCTTTTTATATATAAACCCAGGAACTGCCTGGCCTTTTTTATCGTATATATTTACAGTCTCTTTGCTGTTTTTATCTTTCATGGGGATATTCGTATTCATTGACTTTCTCTGTATCAAACGCTTCATTTAAAAATTAAATCTTTAAAAGCTTAGATTTATTTTAATTTTCACCAAATCCACAGATTTATAGGAGAGAAATCTCTAGATAATTTCAAATTATTTCACTCTGGATCTATTCTGATAATTCTTCTGACTACTTATACTCTGGCTGGTTTATTCTTTTAAGAAGTAGAAGTAATTATATAAGAAAGTAATTATTTAACCTCTTTTTAGAAAATTCTATATATTTAGACACAATTCAGAAGAAAATCATTCTACTATGCAGAAGAGAGAACAGAAATGAATGAAATTTGGACAGATTATGTATATTCATAACTAAATTCGGGGTATATGTAAAAGTATGTAGTAATATGCTTTTAATTTTATTACTTAACAGTCATTTTGATTAGAAATATGCCTTAGTGAATCAAACTGATTATAATTAAGATTATTGAAAGTATAAATAGAGATTAAGATGGAAAAGATATGAGAGGTTTTGGTATCTGCTTTTTTCTGCAGGTTTTAAATATAATTAAGCATGCTACTGCCGCATTAGAGGTAACTCAACAAGCAAATTCTATTGTCTCCTTGCCCCTTATGACAACTGAGACCCCCTACACAGCAAGCAGCATTGACTCTCTGCCTAAAATGGAGCAGACTAGAGATTCAAGAAATTCTGATACTTTCCAAAATCCCCTACGTATTGACCCCAACAAGAATGTAAGAATGCAAATAAGTGAGTATCCAAAGGCATATGCAGACGGACTAAGAAATGTGACTTTGTATCTGGGTGACTTGTATCTTGACTATGATGAAGTCCTTGCGAGTGTCATGGGCAAAGAGGAATATGCAGAGTGCAATGAGTTGCTTTCAATTATCATGGATAAAAAGGATATAAATTCAGCAGCCAGCACGAGCTATAAAGAATCTTCTGTTAGAACTAAAAAAGCCCAAGCATATCCACTTGTAAGTGGGCAGGAGTTATTTACATATATGTCTGTGAATAATCTTCTAGTCTCTGCGCCTGCCCATGAAGAAATAAAAGAAGAATGCGGAAAAAACCCAGATGACTGCATATATCAACTAGATATGGATAGTATTCTTGAGAAAACAGATGAAACAAGAAGAGCATTTAGTAAATTTGAGTCTAAGCTGGAGATACTGCATACTAATATGGATAAACTAAACAGTAATGTAATTGCGGTGCAAGATGCAAAGAATTTCATCCAGGATTATGGCGTAATGATGCGAACATTCTATGGGTTTCTTGCAGAACAATTTATTTTAGTAATAGAAAATACACAGAACCAAGAGGTTTATTCGCCAGATGCTGTAGACAGTGTTGATGAGCTGGTTATTGATTATATAGAAGGACTTTCAAAGGCATATGAAATATCCAAGAGACATGGATTTAATGTGTTTGAATCTTCAGAATGTAACTTAAATATGCTTATATTGCATTATGTAATTATTAATGCAGACATATTCTCAAAAGACATAAGCAATGGTATATACTTTAAAGCATCTGGTATTAATACAGCATGGCAGATAAGAATGTTATTTCCGTTATTAGAGGATGTGGTAAATATTCTTCATATAAGCGAGAATGAAGATGATGTTAAAATTTGTGATGTAATTAGTTCTATGGAATTATCAATTAATGCAGCCAGTGACAGCTTACTTAGGTTTAATCCTTACTACTTCGATATGAAGTCTGTGAATTTCATACAAGAAAATCTTTTCAATTCAATTACGCAGCTCTTAGAAGTGTTCAAGCACATGTCTATGACATTGAAGGATAATGTAGAGAGTCTTGAATCACTTTTCAATTCTGTTTTGCACAATCTGGATTTTGAAGACAAAGCAAAAGGCACACTGAATATTGATATGCAAAGATCTGAGGATAAAGAATTCGTTAATGAGGTGGCAATTAGTATGCATGTCCTGAAGAAAACAAAAGACCATATCTCGAATATCGTGACATCATTGAAGAAGTTTTATGATGGAAATTTTAAAGATTCAAATATATTCAATGACAGCCTATACACTGACCCATGGAATAATCTAATGAAATACAGAGAGTCCTTGTACGTAAATTCCAATGAAGATTAACTTTAAAATACACCAAAAGAGCATCTGTTTATGGGCCTACTAATAATAACAATATAAATCTATGAATGTAAGCTTGTTATCTTTAGATAGAAGAAAGATTAATAAAAAACTCTATTCTGCTGCAAGAATATATAACTGTGCTTCCATACATGAAGTCTAACAAATGCAAATTATTTATTCTTGCATTACCATGTATTAACAGTGCATTGTATGTACTAATATATGGCTGCAGGCGTACTGTGGCTTTTCCTTAATAATTTCTGCTAGTGGCTCTATAGTAGTAATTTTAAATGAATTTTCATCTTTTATTTTTCTTAGTTGGCAATAAATAATAAATTCATCTGTTATTTTTCTCTTCTTAAAGGTATGTGACTCTTTCCATAAGCCAAGCAATAGAGATATATCCGGGTCCAAAGTATATTTTACTTTTGGCTGCAGATTAACCTGGTATTTAACAGTCTTTTTTTGCAGAATACTAGTTTAGTGATCGAACTAGTTGACACTTTGTGCCATATTTTCATCAGTTGTCTCAGTGTGTTTATTGGTACAATATGCAGTACTGATTGACAAGCTGTCTATAAGTCTATAAATAGTTCATGAAAAATAAATTATAGAAAGACTGTAGACTAAATAGAATATTTTAAGAAGAATAAATTGGACATATTTAAGAACATATCTTACAATCAGAACATTAGAAGAGAACTATTCAACAACCAGCTATTATATGGGTTTATTGCCTGGAAGATGAAATTATTCATAAAATATGCACTCATTAGAATATTTTTAGTAGTAAAAAAGTGCCCTTCTGCTGCTTCTTTCTAAATTTAGCAGGCTAGAATGAAGCTGACAATTCATGTAGCAAAATCAACTTGTGACAATGTATGGTTCTGTGTTGTAGTGAATTTCGTATTCTGATTGATAGAATACGTGGTAAACCCTAAGACATGGATTTCAGATGTGTGGCATGTTTGTTGGTTTGTTTTTACTTGTTTCATTGGTCAACAAACAAAACAGGCCAATATTCTACAGGAAAAGATGTTTCAGAATTTCCATGTTTCAGGTTTGTTTACAATTATATCTATAAATAAGGAAAAGATTTCAGAGGATCATGATGGAGAAAGTAGAGTCAGATAATATCAACACTACAGCTAGTCTATCAACCCAAGTTGCCAACCAAAGCGGTCCTTCTGAGCCTACGGATGCATCTGCAGACAAACCTGCAGAGACATCTGAAGTTCCTGAAGTTGAGCAAGCAATGGATGACCTTCAGACTGAAGAAGTCTTGGAGACTCCACAAGTTGCTGAGGCAATTGAGGCGGAAAAGACAGAGGAAGCAGTACAACTCAGAGAGGAGGTGAGGAATACTGAGACCGACAAGGAACAGGAGGAAACTGAGGACACTACCAAGAAAAAGACTAATTTCTTCAAGGGACTACTCAAAGGCATCAAAACCATTCCTTCCAAGACAAAAAAAGGGGCTAAAAAGGTAATGACTACATCAGCTAAGATTTACAAAATAGCCACCTGCAGCAACGTGGATTCAAATTTGCTTGTTCCAGAAGAGAACATTGCAACAGAGGAAAGACGCATGTCTGTGGTAGAGGAAGCTGTCCTGCAAACTCAACTGTGTCTTGAGGAAATGGATCGAAGAGTGCAAGAGAATTCTACTCCCAGTGATAATGTTAATCCAGCCTTACTTGCAGATGTACTTGAGTTTATAGCAACCCTTGAAAATGTCATTAAACAAACCAACACAAAAACATCAGAACTTTCCCTTCCCTTTGTTCTGATCCACACCATGAAAACTTCTTCCACTCTCTGCAAAAAATCTCTTTCAAAGGTTGAAGAAAAGCTTTACACTGACATTACCACCAAGAGCCACAGAAACCTCTTAATAAGCGGAATAGTAGTTAAGTACATAATTTCAAGATCATTTGAGCCATCCACCTACATCAGATACTGGCTTTCAAAGAGTGTTGAGTTTGAAGCTGCATACACAAGTCTCTACCAAGCAACACTTGAATCTTTAACTGCTGAAATTCCAGAGTCTTTAAGAAGCAAGTTCGGAGTATTTGTTCTCAATAGGGTGATTGGCGTTGTAAAAAAGCAAATCATAAAAAAGCTTGAAAACGTTAAGCTTCCAAGGAATCAGCAGCCAAATCTTGAAGTTTCATTTAAAACTCCAGTTTTTGAAAACGGCCTGAGAATCACCAACGAAGTTAACACCTTCTTACAGAACGAGAACAGTGAAAAGGATCCATTAGAAATCACTGCATCAAAGCTTACTGACATGCCAGAGCATCCTGCCCCCAAACCTTCTAAGAAAGAAATGGCATCTCTTAACTCTGCTGGGCCAGCCTCTCCAGAAGAGTCCGATGAGTTTAATGTTTACATCCCATCCAAAGCATCTGAGCTTTTCAATGAAGGCGAACGATCTACTAAGAAAGCTACCCCTGAAGAGATACAGGATATTAAACAGCGAATGCTGAGCTTATATTTTGACTGTGAAGAGTTGAATCTTACTGAGTATACAAAGTCAATGGAAAACCTTCGCTTGATAATAAACAAGCATTCTGAAAACAGAACATCTTCAAAACCCAACAGGAATGTTAATCTTACTGAGCATACAAAGTCAATAGAAAGCCTTCGCTTGATAATAAACAAGCATTCTGCAAACAGAACATCTTTAAACACCAGCAAACGTGCTAATACGTTAATTAACGCGGTCGCCCCAGAGACACAACAGGCTCCCTCCACTTGTGCCCAATCTGAGAAGATTACTTCTGACAACGCATAATTTACATGCAAGTCAAACTCTACTGCTTTTAATTAATAAATTCTAGTAAACTATTTCTTTTCTCCATTATTCTATTAAAAACTTCACATACTCCTTGCCTAAACCCAAATGCAAAAGGCCATTTTTACTTCACTTTTCTTTCATTCACATGTGTTAATACTTTGTAATTTCTTTCTGTCTTGTCATTCTATACCTATACTATATTCAGTATTTTCTTTTTATCTTCTAATCTCTACAAGCTCTTCTTCTTCTTTCTTAGAGTGTATTTCTCTTTTCTCTTACTTTTTTCTCTATTATTTTTATCTTTTTATATTGCCTGCAGTCCTTTTTATATGTGTTCTCTTTTAGTTTTATCTTAATATTTTAATAAAACACGTACACTCTCTAATAAACTATAAACTTTGAAGACTTTTATTTTTACAGAATAGACAAAAGGCATGTATGCATAATCTAAGCACTAGAAGAACAGCACCATGCAAGCATTACTATTGACTCTGTATATTTCTCTTTAAGATGAAGTACAAATAGGCTTGGGTGCTTTTCTATAGTATTTTCCAGCTCTGCCTGAATGATGAAATTCTTTCGCAGGATTTTATCAAGACAAGCAGATCCGTTGTGCACTAGATACAGAAATAAAGAGCCTGCTGTGTAGGACACCATGTCTGCATTTGGGGAAATCTTGTTAATTCCAGTAATACCAAATGTCTGTAGGTATGTGCTGGAAGACTCTCCCTCGCTGCCTCTGGAAGACTGCCTGCTCGATTGGCTTGCTGCCTTAAGGGCCATTTTTGCTTGGTCAAATGTCCGTCTGTACTCCTCAGTTATCTTTATGTGCGATATAACATTATTTCGTATTGACATCTTCGACAGTGAAAGTACCTTAAGAGTGCTCATTGCTAAGATCAGATACTCAAGCAAAAAGTAGTCGTACTCGCACAGATCACCAAGCACATCAACTCTTTGGCTTTGAAGTACTGCTGTTTTTATGCTGTGCACACATTGAAGGATCTCTTCCTTTGAAAATTCTTTGTTGTTAACAGCCACCCCATCTGCACACACCAGGTAATAGTCACTTGGTGAAACTTTCATTACAGCCGTAGACAGATTATATGCCTTTTTAAACGATCTTTTTCGTATGAAAAGCCCCATTATATCAGACTTTGCCTGTTTTTCATGGGGACTATGCATTACAGTGTTTATTCCTACTCCAAACGCAGTGTGCTTTGCCAGGACACTATCATTCTCTGATATATCTATTCTTTGCTCCAGTGCACTGCACATTGTCTTATACATCTCCTCTCTCTCTTCTTTGCTTATGAATGTGTTCTCTAATAAGGTTATTTCTGCTTTTTTTGCATCTTTGCTTTCTACGTCTACAACTGTGTAGTATGTAGTGCCTGCAGAAGAATCTGTTATTTCCTTCAGATCATTGCTTTCTATTAGGTCATCTATATACTCTATTAGTGCATTTAGATACTTCTTGGATGTAAAGTACTTGGAGATGTCCACGCCTGCCACGCTTCTAAAATCCTTATACGCCACGTTCTTCCAGTCTTCTCCCTCTTCTCTGTAAAACTCACTCACTTTTTCGCACAAGTTGGGCTCAGTGAATGGGAATATGGCAAGCAAAACAGACAAAGGCAGTTCATCCACTGTTTGGTGGGACTTCTCAATGCGTGCACATGCCTTTTGCCAGTGATCCTTCAAAAACTGCAGCCGGCTGTCCTTTGCGACAATGTATCCATTGCTCTGCGATGCAAACAGATTTTCATAGTCAGTGAAGAGAATAGTTCTGTAGTACCTTCTGTGTATATCTAGCCTCTCTGATGGATCTTTTTCCCCAGGCAAAGACTCCTCCTCTATGTCATCCGAATACAAATAGTCTACTACACCTTGGTTTGTCACAATACTAAATGACTTATATCCTTCTTTCCGTATGCAGCTTATAACAATTGGATCGGTTGGCTCAAGAGAGGAAATCTTGAAAACATTTCTAGCAATGGTCTTCATTGCGTACTTTATATACACACTAACTAAATCTATCTTTGCTGATGCATTTGCTGTCCTAACAACAGTGTTTTTGTCTATTGTATGTTTGCTGCCTAGTATTTCAGAAATCTTCTCATGAAAGGCCTTGTTGTACATTACAACCTTTTCTCGCTCCACTAGATCCTCTATGACCCTAGTGCGCTGCTCTGTGTTTACAAAATCACGCCGAGTCTCAGAAACTCCTGTCTCTGCACTCTCTTGTATCTGGCTCTCAAACTGCTTCTCTTTCTGTTCATAGTGTGTTTTTAGGATATACCTAAGCCTTCTTGTTTTTCCCTCAAATTCTGTGATGATTTTTATTTCGTCACCAAATTCCTGCATTACATACTTCAAAGCCACATGGGCCTGCCTGTTTTTTATTCCCAGATACTCTTTGATCTGCTGCGTGGATGTTCCCTCTGGTCTAGTTAGCAGATCTCGGATCTGTATGTAAATTGGAACATTTTTTAGCAGATGCTTTGGGGGTGGATAGTCAACCACCTCTTTCTCCACCAGTGGCTCATCCTTGCACAGAAGAATTTTACTTCCATTATCAATCTTTCTCACAATGCCAGCAAGTGCAAGCTTCTTTATAAAGTAGAAGAATGACTTTGCCCCAATCTTTAACTTTACACGCATATTATTACAGCTAACAGGCTCACCCCCTACAATTAGCTCATGAAAAATAAAATAGTACTCCGGGCAGTTGAAATTTAGCCGACCATTTGTCACATACTGAGTAAATTCTTTGTTATTTGCACGTACGTACGAAGTGCTATTTGCAGAATCATCCTCTACAAAAAGTAAAGGATTCTGTGTTTCCTCCACTAGCCTAACAGAAGCCTCTGTCACAACACATACGCCTTCTATTTCTCTAAGACGGTTTATTTCATTTTGCGCAAGATCTTTTATCTGCATTCCATAGAATCCTTTTCTGCACAAATCCTCCACTGTCAGCATCCCGAAGTTCGATTCTTAAAAACACAAAAATATTTAAATATTTTTATTATCTTAGATAAACGTATATTGAAGGCAAGCCAAAATGTAAATCAATCCTATCTGTTTATGCTGGCTAAGAGACACTTTTATCGTATTGTCTACTAATAAAAAGTTAGCCAGTTTTTAGATGGGAAACTTGACTGGACTGTGACATTTCGCTGGATTGACTGGATTGACTAGATTGTCCAACCTGAATGATCTGCTTGGGCTTAGGCAAAGTTTCTGTTGCATTGACATATATTGTCTTCACTAGTTCTGTGCAATTTGCATCTTTGCACTCCAGTCCTGCTTCCCTTTTATTCAGCATAGAGACATTAAACCCCGGCTGAATGTGCGCCGGTGGACAGGCTTGAATTGAGCCAATTGGGCACTCACCAGAGAGCTGCACCTTTGGATTTGTGCATCCCTGCCTGCATACAAGCTTGTTCTTTATCTCCTGCTGCACAATAAAGTATTTCTTTTCTGTCCCCCTGGATGGCCGTTTGCTTCCAATACCGACAGAAGAAAGTGAAATTCTTCCTCTGTTCTTTTCTACTGAAGAAGTTTCTGCTGGTGTAATTGAGTTTACTAACTTTGTTGGCTTAACAATAGATGTAACAGTAGTGGTCTTTGATAGATATGATGTAAATGTGGATGTCTTATCCACAGTAACTGTCTTAGGCATATAAACAGTTCGGAACTTTGTTCTCTCCACATGATCACTAATGGTTTCTGTGACTGTGCTGTGCAAAGTCTTATTCTTTGTTGTAGTAACCGTCTTAGTCTGTGTTTTAGTTAGTGTTTCTGTTGTAAAGTTGTCTACTGTGTTTACCACATATTGTGTTCTGACTTTTGTTTTGTATACTGGAACTGTAACTTGGACTGTTGTAGTAGTAGTAGAGTATGGAATGGTAATAATACTTCCATGCTGCTGGACATCTGGGACCGACAAAGGGCCTGGTGTTATTATGGGTTCTAACTGACTGGTCTGCACCATTTCATAATTCGGCAGTTTTGGGCGAGTCTCTGGTTTGTCTGATGTAAGCAGTTCTATCTGCTTGCTTAGCTTTATAAGAAGTTCTTGCTGCGCGATATTATTTTGATTTCCAGGCTCCAGAAGGGGCAGCATGGGGGTGCTTGTAGGTTCTAGCTCGATAATGCTTTTCTCTGCAGGTGGCTCAGTTACTTTTACCACAACAGTTTTTGTGTGACTGACAGTTTGCGTGACTATTAAATGAGTCGGAGTAATTGTTTCCATTGGAACTTGGTATATCGTCTTTAACTGTGGTGGGGAAATAGCAACTGTATCGCATCCGCAGTGGGCAGACCCCAAGCAGAGACAGGCACCCGGGGGATGTGCATTCTGTGCAATGCTTATAAATCTATTCTCACCGCTCCCAAGAACTGCTGCCTTGCATATACTGTATGCACATGCGTCATCTTTATGAATAGGCAAATTAAAGCTCTTAATGTATGAGTCATATGTAGGAGAAGGCCTATAGACAGACCCAATGCAGTCATTATAGTTTATCCCGAATAATTGGCACCGAATTGCATTTTCATTATAGAAGGAATAGACAGAGGAAATGTATAGTAGTACAGACCCTGCGCTCTGCAGTATTCTCGCTTTTTTCATTCCTAAACACCACTCTTTCTTTATTTACTATGTGTTTCAGAGAGGCTATTGGCTTACAACCAAACAAAAGAAGAGAAACAATGGAAAAGTCACCTATTATTGACAAAACTGCATATTTACTGGATGGAAGTGGTATTAATTCGTAGGAATTTCACTTATGGTGTTGAGAAGGGCATCAAGCGCATAGTTGTCCATTCTGCTAAGAGAAGGAATAAGTGCTTTTGCATCAGTGTTTCTTTCTGGTGACAGGTTGATCACTAATGATGCCTCGTAATCTGTCATTCCTCCACTCACTAAAGTTCTTCTGACTCTTTCTGCCCAGGACGTGTTTCTGGGAGAGGGGCATACTCTTAGATACTTGAGTATGCTTTGAAATGCTTCATTTCCCTCCATTCTTCTGTCCATTCTAGTTTTCTCTACGATCCCTAGTGCCTCTGTGGCTGAAATAGACTTTGACTTGTCTTCTGTTTTCTCGATGAACTTCATGGGTAAAGACGTATTTCTATTAGTAAAATTTTCGCATAAGAACAATGGACAGCAGTAATCCATATGATTCAATTCTTTTGCATGCACTAAAAAAGGACAGTTCTGAAACAGAGAAGGCAGTAGAAGAGTACAGACGGAGTTTAGCATCGAAAATAGCAAATAACTCAAAAGAAATGGCATCTTCAGGTAGCTTTCCGTATTGTTTGTGCTCTCTGTCTGCAGAAAAGACTGCGCGCGCTGTATTCATTGAAAACATTTCATTTACTGCGAAATCTGTGTATATAAGTGTTTTAGAAGGCAATGATCCAGAACAGGGGAGTGAAAATAAAAGCAGCACATCCTGCAGAAAGAAAAGGCTAAGGAAAGAAGTAATTGTGCTTAGGTGCGACTGCACAGAAAAAAAACAAACAGATTGGAGTGGAGAGACTAACATAAAGCTTCTTGCCCTTTTAACTGACTACAATTATAGAACACTAAGCAGTCTTAAGCTAATAAATGGGATATTTTGCAAGGAAGAAGAAAAGAAAGAAGGCGAGACTATGCTCACCAAGGATGAAAGAATCCAGTATGCAAAGGAACATATAGATAAGAAAGAAGTTCTAGAAGTGATTGTATCTGAAGCAGACAATAATCTAAAGGGCGCTTTATTCACTAAAATATTAAGAGAAAGCCGAAAAAAGAAGTAGGCAAGTGATGTAAAATACATGGCATATTTATGAATATCTGTGCGAAAATTAGAATATACACTCCAAAGATTATAGCTAAATTTAGTCTATAGATCTGCTGAGTGTAAAAATAACAATAAACCCTTAGTCTGCATGTTTATTTCTAATTTATATTCTAAGATATTCAAAAAGTGCTCTTATCAAGGATTTTCCTCAGTAGGAAGTAATCATGTTTTATCTTTGGCATGTGCCATGAATGTCTTCAAAATTTATAATAACTGAAATTCGGGTTATGAAGGAGTATATTACTACAGAATGAGGTATAAACAAAATAAGGATATAAATATGTTGTAGATATACGCCTTAGGAGTGTGCTGTATATAGAAGACTGTATTACACTATGCATAAATCTTGATGACTCATAATATCCGCAAAGTAAAATTTTACTAGATGAGTACAGAGAGAGTGACAGAGTGCTTTCAAAATGAAGAGCAGAATAAAATATACAATAGTGTACTTAAAGGCGATTATAGTGAAAGAATCCCATGCAAAGTGCTAAAAATAGCAAGAGAGGATATTAAAGATGTTCTAAAAACAGAGAAAAACATCTTGCGTATGGAGAGAGTGCCAAGAATTCTGGACAGTAGTATATTCCAGGAGACAAATAAGAAAAGAGGGGTGCACATTGAGGCAGACATTCCACATAAGAAAGCAGATGGGTCATGGATTATACTGAATAGTCATGCAGAAAAAGGATTTCCTGCTATGTTGGTTCTAAGCTATGAGTATTTCACGCATAATGAGCTTCTGAAAAAGGCAGGAATAAACGAGAACGAGTATCAGTCAAGTTACAATCGGGTTGGAAGTATAATTCACTTAAACCTAAAAGAAGAATCTCTAAAGCACAAAGAAATCATCTCAATTACCCTTCTAAATAAGATAAAGGACTGTAATACAGTGCTGCGAAAGAAATCAAACATAGAAAATGTCTTCCGGAATATAGAAATTGAGCACTTGCAAGGCGCACCTTCATACAAAACTGTGCACAGAGAGAATGGTCTAAGGTTTAGCATAGATTATGACAAAGTCTACTGGAACTCAAAACTTCAGAAAGAAAGAGAGATCCTTAGCAAGCAGATACACAGGGAAGAGACTGTATGCGATATGTTCTGCGGGGTAGGGCCATTTTCAATTCTTGCTCTCTCCAAGGGGGCAGAGGTATGGGCAAATGACCTCAACCCAGCAAGCATTGTGAATTTCAAAGAAAGCATTATTCTAAATAGGAAGACACTGGGATTGGACGATGTAGAAAGCTCAATATGGGATGAAGGCCTAGAAGACAGAATACATCTGTACAACTTGGATGCGCACGACTTCTTAATGAAAGCAACAGAAGAAAAGAAGAAAATAAGTCCTTCTCCACAGTTCAACCACTACATTTTAAACCTGCCTGAGCTGACACTAACTTTTATAAAGCACTTTAGAGAGCTAGAAATAGCCACAACCCCATTGCAAGCAGGAAAAGCAACAGTCCATGCGTATTTCTTTGTTAGAACCAATGAGTCTGCTTTGGAAAAGATAGAAAAAGAGATGGGCAGGAAGGTGGAAGGCACTGAAAGACTGGTTCGGAAAGTATCTCCAAGCAAGGAAATGTGGGTTGTATCATTTACACTTGTAAAATAAATTGTGAATCACAAGAATAAGCTATTCATTGGAGACAGTGCCCAGAAGAGGTGCCAGCACAGACGCCTTTACCCCACCAACTAGAACAAAAAATAAACAGAAAGTCCTTATAGCAGGTGCATAGGTGTTTATTCAGCCAGCTTCTTCTTTACAGATGCAAGCATGTTATTGAGAATATTATTCTGCTCTTCAAGTATTGATGCAGTTTGTTTTGCTTTTTCCAGATTAAACTCTCTTCTGTACGCTATTGCATTCTCAGCCAAAGATGCCAGGCCGTCGCTTAATAGATTTGCTCTTTTCTCTAGTTGGCTGTACTGCGAGGATACGCTCTTTATTTCAGGCCCAAGAGCCCTTCCAGCCTGCTCTAGCACTTCAACCAGAAGTGCGTTATACTTTTCATTTATGCTGGTTAGTTTGTTTGTTAGTCGTAGAATACCTCCCTCCACTAGTTCATTGAGTCTGTCACCTAGATACCGTCTGCTTGTTTTTAGCTTTTCAATCACATCCTTTTGCTTTTCCAACCGAGACTCTAAACCCTCATACCCGAAAACTATCTCTGGGTACAAATAGCCAGGCGCAGGGTTAAGACTCATTGCCTGATTCCACACGTCAACTGACACATTGTGCGGTCTTTGCACGTTGGGGAAAGCAGAGTCTGCCATATTATAGAAGGTATAGACAAATTTGTACAGAGCGCTGTTTCTATCATACGCCTTTTCCAAGTAGTCCACTGTGCATTGAACGTCATCAATTGAGCCAGTGGCATTCTTTAGCGTAGGGTTTATAAAGGTATTTGACATGTTTGAAGAAGACTGATTGCAACCAAATCCTGTGCTTGGCTTAAACATAGACGATCCAAGGCCTGACATCCCTGCTCCAAATCCACTTCCCAGTCCTCCCCCAAGAGACCGCGATGCATCTGCATTCATGCTTCCTCCAAATGATGTAGACATTTGAGTGCTTCCCAATCCTAAGGCGTTGCTCATTCCCAGGCCACTGTTCATGCCATTGTTTCCTAAGCCGCTGCTCATTCCGCCCATGCTATTCATACCCATTCCAGTATTCATGCTATTATTCCCTAAAGTGCTTCCCATGCCCATTCCTGTGCCTGTGCTATTATTTCCTAAATTGTTTCCCATGCTGTTATTTCCTAGGCCACTGTTCATTCCCAGTCCTAGGCCAGTGTTCATGCCCATTCCACTGTTCATTCCACCGCCTAGTTGACTTCCACCTACAGAGCTGCCGCCTAATAAACTTTGGTTTCCTCCAATGCCATTGCTTCCCAGGCCACTGTTCATTTGGCCTCCTAGCCCGCTATTATTCATGGAGTTGCTAAATCCCCCAGATGTTCCTTGTCCTGCACCAAGGCCAAATGCATTGCCGCTGCCTGTGGTGTTTCCAAATCCGCCTTGGGCTGTGCTATTATCCATGCCACTCATGTTGCTAAGCCCACTGCTAAATCCTCCCATGCCCTGCGATGCTGTGCTGTTGAATGCACCCGTGTTTTGGCTGTTTCCAAAGCCACTTCCAAAACTGTTTCCTTGCGTATATCCCTGGTTCGTGCCAAACCCGCCTGTGCTACCACTCCCTTGCATTGATGTATTTCCTGCTGTGTTGGAGTTGTTACACAGCACAAGACTTGTACTGCTGTTCTGCCCAGAGTTCAATGGCTGTGCACTTCCAAACCCAGTATTGGGCTGCTGCTGCATGGAATTGCCAAACATACTGTTCTGTCCCTGGTTATTTTGCCCGGAATTTGCATTCATTCCTTGCTGGCCATACTGACTCTGATTATTATAGAAGGACATGCTTCTCTGCAATAAAAAGATAAAATATAAAATGAAGCAGTACAGAGGCAAAAGACTTCCTGGGCCTTCCAAAAACAAAATGACGCAGAAAGCATCAATTATATGACACTTCAAGAATGAAACCACATATATATATATAATTGGTCACTTTCACACTGATTAAAGAAGTTTCAAGTAAGCAATAGCAAACTCAACAAATAATACTATAGAAAACACATCAGTGTTTTACAAATTCTCTATATAATATGGACTTTCGTCCTTGGATAATATGCTTAAAAAGAATATTATAAAGCTTTTCCTATCCACTCTTCTACTTGTGTTCTTACTGAATGTATTTACATCGCCTGTAAAGGCTGCTGAAGCCACTGGAGGCGGTGGCGGCGGTGGAGGAACACACGGCACATTCAAGGATGTATTTACTTACACATTCTTCCACACAGCGCCCAGTGATAGTTTCTTTATAAAGTCGAGTAAAGTCACTCTAAATATTATTACTTATCCTATATCGGTTATACGTAACTTCGTCTGGTATGGGTATGGAACTATATCAGGAAACGGATGGTATTACTGAGACAAGCGCACATTTGGTGTATTTTATCCTAGGACAAGTTTTTCTATGGTAAAAGACATCTAAAGAATGCTTGAATAAAGAATAGTACTGTACAATTTTCTTTTTATATCTGTTTGCTACTATTTCTTGTAAAATGTAAAAAAGAAATTGAAATGAAAGTAATATTCCGAGGAGGGCTTGAGGACAACGTAAACTCTGAGACGCTGCTTGTAGACATCAATGAGCTAAAAGAAACAGCAAGAGAGGCCGGAAGAACTGCAGTTATCGCCAAAGACCTAATATTATATATAGAAAAAACCCATTTAAAAAGCGATTACAAGCACTTTTCACTAAACGGTGAGCTAGAAGGCGGCATTTTATGCATAATAAACGAAGTTGACTGGGACATTCTTAAGGAAGAGAACACAGTGCTAAATGACAATGACACTATTCACTTTATAACAACACTGCATGGTGGTTAGAAGTAGATATGTGCTTCTAGCAGAGGCTTGTAAAAGCTTCTTCCAAAAGCTGCTAATATATGACCTGAACATTTTGTGTAGCATCTATGGTGTTAGGTCTAATATACAGGGATTGTTTAAAGCTAGAGAGCATATGTGAAGAATTTGTTGAAGTCCCTTACATTTCTATATAGCCTGAGTGTATGACATGTAGCTCAAATATTATATTTAAACGAGAGCTATTTTGCTAGCAGCTGGAAGAGAGGCGATTCAAATAGCATTGTATGCTGGTTCACTGGAAATAAAGTAATAAATGTTTCTCCTCTCTCTATAAATTTATCTAAAAGATTTCTAGTGTGATAATCTATAGATAATCTGTAGCATTCTGTTACATGTCATTATATTGAAATCTAACGCAACGTATAGAAATACCTTTAAATTGGAAATTCGAAAAAGGCGCTTAGAACCTCTCGCATGCAGTACCACTAGAGATAAAAGCCAGCCGATAGCACTGGCCCAGGATAAAATAATACAATTCGAGTCATAATAATACAGAAAACATAATGCATTTTATTCTGTGCTTCTTTCATATATGCTTAGATTATGGCCAGGATTCAGAAATAATGACCCTACAAAGCATAGAATCTGCTTTAGAATATTCTTAAATCTATCATTTCGACGAAACTCGACCCTCATCCGGATCTTATCTAGCATAATGAGAGCCAAAATTGCAAGAAGAAGTATAATGAACACCTTGTTCATATAAAATGTGAGAAACATACCAAGAACTAGGTAGGTGGCAATAGAAGATATTTTTGGCACTATCTTTGCAAGCAGAGAATACAATGTGTTTGTTGGGGTCTTTTTCTTTTTCTTTATAAAGTACACCTTCCCGTTAATCGTCATTAGAGAACTTTTCTTCACAAAGACTTCTTTGCTTGTCCCTATTATTTTGACAGAAACCATTTCATTTATGTGTGGCTTTTCCATATGTCCTATAGCAGAGAATGTTGCTGAATCTGCCAGATTGTTAACATTAGTATTTTCTGCATTCATGCTATTATTTTCTTCTGCTTTGCTACTTAACAAAGACTCTACGCTATCGCCATCACTTATGCACAGTGGCTTGGTTTCCTCTGTTTTCATTGGTCCAGCATCTTCATCTATATGGTTCACTTCTAGAACTTTTGTTTCAACTGATGCGCCTGAACATTCTGTTTGTGCATCGCTTGACATCTGCTTTATATCGCCTTCTGTCTCAGTTGACTCGTGATGCTTAGTGCCCGTGTCACTTTCATAGACATCCACTACCTCGTCTTCATCGCTTTTGCTGTCTAGCTCTGCACCCTCGCATATTTCTTTGGCAGTCTTCTCCTGCTCACTAAAATTTTCATTGAGTTTAGCCTCCTCTGCCTCCTTTTTTTCATTTATTATATTAACAGTGCTTCTATCTTCTATTATTGTGTAGACACTTTCTAGATTCTCACATAAATCCTGCAACTGCTGCGGGCTCTCAGAATGAAGTGCGCTTGGAGGCTCTGAAGCTTCACAGCCTTCTGAATCTGCAGCCGCACGTCTTCTAAGTATTGCCTTTATGTCAACCTGTCCTATTTTCTCCAACAGCTTTGTGTACTCCTCTGCATCTTTAAGAAGATTTTCTTTATGAAACAATTCTACATCTTCTATATTGTACATCAGTTTTATCTTCCCCTTTATGTCTTCAAGTGTGCTACAGTCTGCCACATCCAACTCGCATACCTCTGAATCCAGCTCTACACGGATTCTTTTTTCTTCCATAATTTTTACAATTTCTACAGACTTTATAAAAGTGGCAGCCATACAAATTTTTTAGAAACCACCCAATCACAGCTGATATAAATACAGGTTCGCATCCACATGGACACAATAAATAGCATGCATCATATATTGGCCAGTATATGTTAAAATAAACTTCTTTACCTGCTTTATTGTTAAGTCCAAGCCATTCATAATAAAAATTAATGTCTGTGTTGTTTTTTATATGAAAGTTTGAGTGCTTTAGATAGAGAGATTATAAAGCCTATTGTGGACGTGCGTATGCTGCCTGGAGCGTGGTATTTCAAATAGCACTGCGGTTTAATAGTAGCTTTTTCTCCTGGATGTATACGTTCAGTATAAATACCTAACTCTGCCACTTTATTAATTTTCTTGCATTTCTACTTTAGTTCTTTCTGTCTGTCAATATTATTTTGTCTGTATAAATTCATTCGCGTGGTCTCAATAATCGCTGGGTCAATTAAAAAGCTCACAGTGAGGCCATGTATTATCTCATTCATGCACATATTGGTCTTTCGCTGTGATTTTTCGTACTCTAGATACTTTAGCATCCTAACAATAAGCACTGGATTCATGTACTCGCTATCTATTTTCTTTATAAACTCGTACAATTCGTGCGGCAAAAAGACCTTGTTCTCGTTTGCATCTACTATATTTACATCATCCAGCTGCTCAATAAAGCACATTACTCCTTTATCAATGGTCAGGTTTTTTATTGGATAGCACCTAATGTTCTTTACTTTGACATATAGAAGCTTCATAGACTTGCAGTTTATGCATAGCGGGCTTTCAGACGATTTTATGAGATTGATTATTTCCACACAGACCATGCATGTCTTAGGACATGTTAGACGCGTACAGGCATTTTTGATTTTTATGCTTGGAATAAGCTTGTTTATCTCGTCGATCCACGCATTCATAACTATATCATACTTGAGTATTAGGATCGTATCGTCCTCTATTTCTTTCACAATCTCCTCTGCCCACCTATATGTTATTTCTTTTTTAAGTATTTCACTTGCCTTCATTTCCTGCTTAATTTTTCTACGGCAGTAAATATTTTCTAAGTATTTTATAATTATAAACACAACCCTTCCAGAAAAAGGACAGAAAGAATAAAATTAGAAGAGTTTTATCCAAAGTAAAAATAGATCTAAAATGAATAATGCGAGAACAGAACACGTGGTTTTCTTGCTGAAAAATCCTGCTGTGGAAAAATCAGAAAAACTCATCAAAAACTGTTAAATGTAGTATAATATTTGTTTATTGGTGTTGTGCCAGCAAAATCAGAAATATGCACAGCACATGTTTCCTAACTAGAGTGGAGGGCGTTCAGCACCTTTGTCAAAAGAATGACTATAAACGCATCAGAAACAGTAAGAGCAAGGATTGCAATGGTTGCATTGAGCGATAGTGGAAGTAGATTGAACAGCTTTCTAAACATAACACACATAGAGTTGTTAGACACCGGGATGCTACTAACTGAAATGAAAAGAATCGACAGAAGGACTAGATGGAAAAAGTAGAACGCTATGAAAAGCTTATTAGCATTCTTATTCTCTCGGAAAGGAGCTCCAGGCGTGTACACCAGGCCAGAATAGAGCGCCTGCAGATTCGACATAAGAAAGATTCCTGTTGCCAGCTGGGACTCTTCTGAAAGTTTGTTTGGCTTGGACGGCATCACATTAACATGCCCCAGATGCTCCAGATACTTAAAAAGCATAAGAAGATGGATTAGATGGGTAAAGCAGTGGACAACTATTCCAGCTATAGGGTTTTGGGCAAGGAGCCTTTTCTGCGGCTTTTTCTTAGACAGCTTCTTAGACGCTTTGAAGTGCGACATTAAAATAGAAAGTGGAATATTGATCAAAATGTCTGTGTATATGTTCTGCATGTCTGACATAAAGAGTTTCTTGAAGAGAAGAATTATCAAGGCGTTGAACTGGGATATCGTTATAATAAGTATCTGTTCAATCTTGCTAAGCGTGGTTATTATTGCACACTTCCCCTCTTTGATAATATCTAGTATGCAGGAAATCTCTTTAGTATATGATAGATATGAGGAAACACAGTACTCCACAGACCCTTCTGAGTTTGAGATTGATATGCCCACATCTGCAATTTGGATGGCGTTGCAGTCGTTTGCCCCATCTCCAACAAAGCAGACCAAATCTGTCTCTTTGTACATTCCCACTACTTTGCTTTTTTGCAGCGGATTCATCCGGGAGAACACTTTGCACCGCCTTTGGATCAGCTGTTTATACTCAGGGTGCTCCATAAAAAGGTCAAACAAAGTCCCTTCAATGGCAATCACATAGTCAATATACGATACATAGTCCTGTCCCTTTTTCACCTTCATCAGCATCTTGTCAAACACCACGTCGTCATTGAAGCACGCCCACACCACAGACTCTATTGTTTTTTTTGTTGAGCCAAGCTTTGGATAAATAACAGGCACGTGCGGCTCAATAATTTCGCAATTCATTGCCACAGACACAGCAGTTAGCAACGCATCGCCTGTGCACATGATGCTGGATAGCCCTGCTCTCTTAAGTGTGTCTATTGTCTTTGCGCTGTCTTTTTTAAGCTTGTTCTCAAATACAATGGTGCACAGTATCTTTAGATTGCTCTCCACTTCCTGGCGGTCTTTTGTTCTCTCTTTCATGGGCTTACCTGCAAGTGATATAACTCTGTATCCCTCCCGCGTGTACTCGCTCACCACATCTCTGTCTTCGTCGCTGCCCGCTTGGTTTTCTGATATAGACAGAATTGCTTCTGCAGATCCCTTAGCAAAGGCATATAGGCTTCCATCGTTGGCTTCTGATACAGTTGACATTCTTCGGATTGTGGAGTCAAAGTCAAAGGTTTCGTTTATTTTTCCCAGGACCTTTCCGTTTACTGCAACTGTTTTCTCTATCTTTTGGTTGCGTGTTGTATAGTCTACACACCCTTTAGCAAACTGCAGAAGCTTTACGTCCAGTGGGTCTCCAATCAGTCGATCGCCTATTTTCTCAACTGAGTGGCACATGCTAAGCCCACGCAGAACAATCGGGTCCTTGATATCCTCTATAGAAAACACCTCTGTGCCATCAACATTTATGCACTTTATGTCCAGCCCTTCTTCAGTTAGAGTCCCGGTTTTATCAAAGCACACCTTTGTGATGGTTCCAGAGACATTGCTGATAGAGATGTCTTTGCAGACAATCTTTTTCTGCTGAAGGCGCTGCGCGCACATAGACATGCCCACCCAGATAGCAGTAGGAAGCGAGGGCGATACCAGCGCATACACCAGGTCAAATATATAGCAAATTAAAATCTTTGTTGGAAGATGCGCCTGTAGGTAAATGAAAACCGAAAAAACGCACGGAATTAGCATGCAGGCAATGATGCCTATAAACTTAATTGTGTCATAGTATATTGGAGGCACGCCCATCTTATCTTCGATTAGGTTTCTAAAGGCCTTTCCCCTGGCAGAGTCATAAGATATCCGTACTGCTCTAACCAGGCAGTAGTTATTTGACTCGAGATATTTCTCTATCTCAGGAGTTGGGTCTTTATGCTCATACTTCTCGGGATCCTGCATTATCGCCTGGAAAACAACAGACCCTGCTAGCACTTCGGTGTTTTCCTTTTTGAGCACTGGAACAGACTCGCCTGTAACAAACCCCTCGTTTACAGCAACTGATCCGCTTATCACCACGCAGTCGCACGGAACTTCAGTAAATGGCAGCAGAACAAGTATGTCTCCTAATACTATCTCTGCCTCCTTTATCACCTTTATTGCGCCGTTCCAAAGAATGAACGAGTGCTTCTGCACCTTGGAGATTTTTTCAGATTGGGCGTTTTTCTGCACCTCCGTTGACACCTCATTTGTTAGATTGTACGCCATGAGCAGAAAAATAAGGAATGCATATATATAGTAGTCTATGTAGATCCACAAAAGGATACCAAAAATTGTATACACATTAATTTTGTCAAAAAGCGCGTCAAAAAAGATGTAGAAGTTGCTCTTGCTCTTTGTCACAAGCATGTTTTTCCCAAATAGAATTTCTCTTTCCTTCCTTGTGAGGGTGTCCATGTATTTTGCTCCTTTGGGGGTGTAGTACTCGCAGTACTTCCAGTTAAATATTAATCGAGTGCTGTTGATAAATACATACCGGTATTTCCCGTTCTTTATGTAATCCCGAACCAGATATGTGATTTCATCCTCTTCCACCTCCTCCTCCAAAACCTCAAAGGCCTTTCCGTTAAATATTAAAATATCGGCATCTTCAACTGATACCTGTTTTGTTTCTATTAGCAGTTTAACGGCAGCAGAGGAACACAGAACATGGAAAAGCCCCAGCGTCATCAGTGAGACGCCATAGTAAATTTCCTTAGGGAATCTGCGCTTTCTTCCCTGTATACCACTTTTATTCTGGCCTCTAATAAATGCTGGCATGGTGGGGGTAAAAATTTAATAGTTTAAATATGGGGGTAGATTCTTATTGGAGCTTTCTTTATGAATTTTATTGGTAATGTGGACGCTCTAGTCGTCATGATTCGGCTGCCTAATTATAATACTTTGCACTTGGTGCTCTTCTAAAAAATTGCCTTCCCTGCGCAACACACATGTCAATACTTAAATTTACACTTGTTTCTTCTAAATGCCTCTGAACCCATCTTGGCAATTGTGTTTTTTTCTCGGACACATTGAACCGTCTATCAGCCAAAACAGCTAGCCCATAGTCTGTGCTTGTTCGGAGCACCCTTCCAATGCACTGTGCTGTTTGGCGCATCGCGTCAAAGGAAAGAAATTCTGACTCTCTAATTCCAAACTCCTCTGCAAGAAACTCCAAGCGCTTTTTGAGTCTTGGGCTTTCAGTGTACTGAAAGGGCACGCCAAAAATAAGAACTGCCCGCCCATAGCATCCAGAGAAGTCCACACCCTCAGAGACCTTTCCTCTTGCCACGCTGAGCATAAGCCCCCCTCTTCCGGTTTCGCATGCTCTTTTATATCCCTCCAGCGCTCTTTCTGTCTCTGCATGGTCAAACGACTCCACAAAGATAAGCTTGCATTCCATTATTTTCTTTATTATTCCACTTTCGGTCCAGGCTGCCACAGCCTCTTCCATGTATCTATATGAAGGGAAAAAGCAAACCATTCCATCAGGAACAGACATGGCCATCTCAAGAAGAAGATTTCCATAGTTACGCACAACTGCTGGCTCTGCGCGCAAAGAAAATGTGCTTGAGATTGCATTGGAGCCGTCCATGGCCAGCGTCATTTGGTCACTTCCTTTTGTGACAATCAGTGCATGCAGTCCTCTTTTTGACGAAACATCAATTTCAACAGACTTAACAGGAGTAAAGTCCAGCAGCCTTGGGTATATCGATATTGGGCTGAGTGTTCCGCTTGTGATAATTACATTATTGTATCCAGAAAAAACACGCTTCATGGCAATTGATGAGTCTAGGCACGAAAGGTGCAGCACAGGCTCGTAAATTGAGTACGAGTTGAAGGGCTCAAAAATAACAGAAAATCCTTTCTTAAACTGCCCGCTCAGTGAGCAGAAGTCGCACACTCGCGATAGCTCGGAGTAGTCATCTGTAAACCCATGCATTTCCAGCTCCCCCATTATTTCGCGCAGCCTTCGCGAGAGATGGATCAGCGACGAAAAGTCAATAAAGACAGTGGTCTCAAGTGTTTTTACAAAGACCTCTGTCGTTTCAGTGGTGAGGTTTACATTCTTCAGCTTGGTTTTAAAGAACTCAATGATTCGCTTCGTAGCCGAGATAAACCCGCTAATGCTTCGAAGTGTCCCTGGAACAAGCGAGGTAAATTTTCTGCTGGATTTGTGTCCCTCAAGAAGCGATGCATAGTCGCTTTTAATTCCCTTTCCTCTATTGTACATTGACCGCTCTCTTTCATTTCGGTTCAGGCTTATATTTCTGCTGACCATGTAGTCTGAAATCGTGCACAGGCTTTTCCATGCCTTGTCTAAGCATGTTCTATTAATATGCACTGTCAACACCTCAACACAAACACTATCTATATTGTGTGCCTCGTCAAAGACAACTACGCAGTTGCTCCCAAATCCACTGCTCACAAGCTCGCTAATACGCGGGTCAATCATATAATTGTACGTGTACACCACGCAATCCGCCAAAAATATGGACGATCTTGCTGTGTAGTAAGCGCACCGGTTTGTCTGGGTTCCAATTTCTTTTAGACCGTCTAGAGTGTGGATGCCGCTTGGAATATTCTCTGTCATCTTCAGATACTCTTTATAGAATGTGCAATCTTCCTTTTCTTGTCGGCATCTCTTATTGACAAGGGAAGGGTCTGCGTTGATGTCTGGATTCAGGCAGAGTGTTCTTCGTGCTGCCAGTCCCAGTCCTGTGTAATCTAAATCTGGAATGTACGTTTTAATGTAATCATATAGCTCTTTTAACTCCTCCAGCACCTTCTCTATCTCTGCAGTTGTTCGGGTGCAGTATATTATTTTAAAAACACCTTCTCTTCTTTTGAATCCTTTCTCTCGGATCTTTTCGTGGCCTTCTTCTTTCGTCATAAGATGTATTTGGTAGCTCATTAGAAAGCTTAAGAGAACAATTGTTTTTCCTGTGCCTGTTGGCATTTCTATTAAGCAGTGTCCTTTGTCCTGGACCACTTCGTATAGCTCCTTAATGTACTGCATTTGCTCTTGGTATATGTTGTTCTTCGGAAAGAAGACTTCAATATTACCCATTTTAATAATCATAAATAAAAAATACAATGGGTATTTCTTCTTATATAAAAGAAGCTACTTGCACGAAACTTCTAGGCAGAGGCTTCAAGCTGCTGTGCTTTCACACAAAATATCTTTTGCTGCTGAAATAGAAATAGTGCGGGTTTCACTGTAGTACATAGTTTTTATCATTTATGCAAACATTGCAGAATAATTTCGATATTTATTAAAGATCAGGCATTGCCTCGTACATGTTCTCGATATTCTCTGTGGCGCCAGAGAAGTTTCCTCCCTCTTTCTTGTACTGCCCCATTCGGCTCTGGTTTATATCTAAGTTAATAAGGTCATCGCTTGCATCTGGAAGCGCGGCGCTGTGCACAGGCACTTTTGTTGAAAATCTGATGCGACCTATCTGCAAGTCACGCAGAATCATAAAGCCAGAGGTTCTTTTGTCTGGGACTCCCCCGCTGGTTAGCCTTCCCCACTTGACAGCCAGCGATATAAGCAGCTCCTCTTCTGTCTGTGGCTCGGATATTCCATATAGAATGGCCAGCTCTCGCCCTCCAACACGGTTAAATATAAAAGAAACAATTGTGTCCAAGTCCACCTCAGAGGTGCTTGCTCTAAGGGCCGCGCTCACAGGATTACACTTGTTGTAGATAATTCCTGGAGAATCTATCAGCCGAATTGCTCCGTTCAGTACGATGTGCTGCAGAATCTTGGTTACTCCTGGCGTGTTCTTTACCTCGCAGGACTTTTCTCTCTTCAGCGAGTTTATAAGACTGCTCTTTCCCACGTTTGGGCAGCCAACAATACCTACAGTAACAGAGCCGCCTGATCGACAGTAGTTGTTCAGTAGGTTCATTAGGTCTTTTACCCCAAATGCCTCTGCCTTCAGCTCTGTCTTTTCGGTCTGCCCCAGCCTTGTGCGCTGTGACTGTGTGGAGGCCTTGAATGGAACAGTTGGTGCATAGTTTCTTAGGTACTCGAGCCACGTGCCCCAGTTCTCTCTGTCTACTAGGTCAATCTTATTTAGGATGTAGACGAGCTTCTTTTCTTGCGAGTGAATAATTCTCTCTACCTCTGGTGCTCTGCTTCCTATTGGGTCTCTTGCGTCAAGCACTTGCAAAATGACATCAGACTCTGCAACTACTTTATATATTTCTTTGATGTACCTTCGTGAAATATCATCCTGTATATCTGTCTTTGAAGTATTCTTTTGGGCCTCTGTGTAGAGCTTTAGCCGAGCCTCTGCGTTCTCTCTTATCTGTCTAAGGGTCATTTTCTCCTCTTCTGTTTTTACTGCATTGAATGCTCCTGTTGTCTCTCTCTTTTCTTGCTTCCTCTCTCGCCTTCGTTGTACTTTATCCGCCTTTGATGCCTTTTTTCGTAAGTTTTCTCTGGTCTTTGTACTTACTCTCTTGCTTAACCGTTTCTTGTCTTTCATAAAAAAATTTCATGTGGCTCTTTTCTGTCTTTAAGAATAAAATAAAAATTATCCGTTCGTGCATAAATAGCATACTTTCCCTGCTATTACACTACATATACTATTTCCTACACTTCCCTCTTTATAAAATGCCTTCCATGTAATTTTATCCATAGTTTCTGCATTGGGGCTATTTTTATTCTCTGCTTAAATTCTTCTCGTACTATTAGCAAAAGTATTATTGGAATCTACTAGAGTCCATACTATTCGCAAAGATTCCTCTACTTATTATATATGGAAATTGTTGGCTGGCCATTCTTAAATTATATAATATTCTTGCTTAGATGGCGCTGTTTATCTGGTAATCCTTCAGAAGTTATACATTTTAGAGTATTATTATTTGAGAGAAAATTCTAGCTGTAATAGAATGTATATTATTTTAGCAAGAATTATATTTACCTAAGAACTAGCATGTTATTGAGAAGATAGCAGTAAATCTACAATAGACATTATAATCACACTGAGCTCAGTATTTGCTAGAAAATTTAGGTTTCTATACTATTAGAATTTAGATGTGTTCAGATGCCTGTTTGTCTATATGAATACACACCCAGTGGTATACATTGTAGTTAATATGAAGACCTACAGGAAAGCATGCATACTTCTTTAGACTCTATATATTTATACCTGCAGCACAGTAAAAGAGTTTAAGATAAAAAGCCATTGGAGGCTTGCGGACAAGGAATATTAGTTGAGCACACAAAGGGCGGACACAGTACAGCAAGGCAGCAGGCAGATCGGGAGCGGCTG